ACCCAATCATTACTCGCCGGTGGGTTGGGTGATTGCAGATGATGGGTGGTTGGGTGGATTCGGTGGATTTACAACATATATTCCATATGATCACATAATTTCAATAGCTTTAAACTTAAAATGAAACAAATGTTCAAACTTATTAACGCTTAATACATAAATAAGGTGAATCATTTATTTTACAATATTGGTAATTGTCCACAAATTACAAAATATTCAACTGATAAACATGGTCTAAGCTTGATAATAACCAAGGTTGAAGAAGGCACTAGGCATAAGGCAAAATTTTTGGTTTTTCCTAGCACCTCATTCGCTTAGCCGCCGTGACTTGTGAGCATAGAGAGCTTTTTAACCTGTAGTTGAAAATTACAATCTCAAATTGATGAAAGGATTGAAGGATGAATTGGTGGTAGTTTGAGATGGCGTCATCTTGGGGAAGACAACTATCTTTTTTCTGCCATTTGTCTACTAGTTATGCTTAAGCGTATCTCCAATTGCCTAAGCACACCTTACAACACAATTCTTTGATCGAAAGTGAGAGGAATTATTTTGATTTTAAGGGTTTCATTTTTGGTAAAGCTATATGTTAGAACTTCTATTGTGTGAGGTTAAAAAGTTGGGTGAGTCGTGGATCAACCATAATCCACCGCACCCGCCCAATCTTTTGTGGGTCACCTATTTTACACCCACATCCACCCATAGAAACCACCCACATTATAATGGGTGGGTCGATTGCGAGTGGATTTGGGTGGATTTGTGGGTTTAACCACCCAATGCTCACCCCTAGCTAGAAATGCCATGAACTATGATGTGACTCAATTGTGTTGGTTTGGAGCCTTGATTTCGGGTTTGCTAGGTTGTTTGTTTTCTGCAGACTTAATCTGGCTATTCCGCAACCGGCCCTGCTGCCTTGTTTTGTGTACTTAAGTGGGGGTGGGGGATCTCTTCCTCCCTCTATTCATTTTCTTAATAGGTTTGCATGGTTTCACCAATGGTGTATATGTTTTCAGGATCATGTCACTTCGGCACGCTTTTGTCCAGGGTCTGCGTCATACCCACGACTATGATGCGCAATTCGCTACAATTCGGGAAAGAACCATTGAGGAGCATTGGTACATCAACAATATCGTCCTCCAGGATCTGTACTATCAGGGAGATATCTGGCATCCCATTGCCAACCGCCAGTGGAGGTGACTTTTGTGCCTGTCTGCTGCCACCTACAACTAGCTTTAGTGGGAAATCTACTCCACTTTCTGCATGGCGGTGGATCGCCCCAACCTAGCCTGGCTGATGGTATCATGTTCCTCCTTGGGGTTGTTGATATGATCCCAATTGGATCAATCTACAAGTCTTAATTACTTGCCAAAGAAGCCGTCTCACCTCACTTGAAGAATGCCGACTTTTGGTTAAGTGTTGGAACAATGTCGAGGTACCTACTTTGGAGGCATGTTTCACGTAATTTGCTTGATGAAAATTCAATATTAAGGGCTTGTATTGAAGATGGAGTGTTTATCTACACATTGGAATGCTTGGTTTCTCAAGGAGAAGTCAAGAAGATTATTTTCCAAGCTCACCAAAAGGCCATGTCAAAACTGGAAACTGTTTTGTGAAGCCTACTTTGGAGCTCAATTCGAGGAGCATGGACCTGATTCGAGTTCAAAGGCTTCCCCAACATGAAACTAGGTATGTTTGTATACAAAGGGAATGAATTGGATGAAATATTGGAGTTCTGGAAGACCACAAACTAATGGCACGAAGTTAGTACAAAAACTGTTTTTCTGGCAATTTGCTTGTGCTATAAGGTAGCTAGCTTGTGCTTGAAGAAAGGGGAATTCTGGCCGAATTTTGTGTTCTTTTTAGGTATGTTTTTACCTTAATTGTTTCTTAGTTCTATTTGGTTTGTATTAGGTTTCTATTGTCTTTAAATAGCTGTCAATTTCACGTTGTAAAGAATCAAGTTTTAGTTGAATGAAAATTACTCCTACGTGAGTTTCGAGTTCTTTGAGTTGTGTCTCAAGAATCAAATCCTTGAGTTAGTTTTGTGTGGATTCCATTACTAATTCGAGAACCCTTGTCAAGCTTTTCTATGAGGAGTCGAGAATCGTTTAACGAGCTTCTTATCAATCAAGTAAACACCTTGATTGTGGTGAAGTTCTTACCATCCATTATTTATCGTTCGAGGGTTCTTTGGCTGTGTATTCTGATTAAACAAAGCACCCCTGGTGCTTTATCAAGTGGTATCAAGAGCCCGGTTCAAGTCAGTGGCGAGAAGGATAGAAGGCTGTGTTTCTTACAAAAAACTCAGCACAAAACAGAGCAATAATGGTGGCGGCAGAGTGGTTACCATGTATGATTTTCACGCGATGTTTGATCCAAGAGAACGTGTGTTTGGTTCTAGTTGATGGAGGCAGGGAGAGGAATTTAATTTCCTCCAGGAAAGTGGTAAAGCTAGGGCTGCAATCACAGCTACATCCAACTCCCTACAACGTCCAATTACCATACAAGAAATACACAAGCTTCATGATTTCGCAGGTGGCTGTGGAGTTCTCGATTAGATCATATGAAGATCGAGTGCTGTGTGATGTGGTTTACAACTTGCCAAACCATCTCGTATTGGGGCAACCTTGGTTTCGAAATCGACAGGTCGAGTTTCTTAGCAGAAGAAGCAAAAAATTCAAAATACGGAAACAAAACAAGACGTTCGTATTGAATCCATTGTCTCTAGAAGAAGCTGCTAGCAATTTGAGGGAAGCAAAACGACTCTGAGAGGAATACCAGAGGGCTTTGGTTCAAAACTATCATTGATGAAAGACAAATCCGTCTAGACTCTGCCTGGCAATAAAAGCCCCTGTTTTGCTTCGCCGAAAAAGAATTTCGACTCCGGCAAATTGTCCGACGTCAAAGAAGGGAAGACGGTGCACGACGGTGGATCAGAGGCATCTTTGGGGATTGAAGAAAGGTCAGGGAAACGAGGAGAGGGTCTCGAGTTAGCTGTCAATGAGAAAATCACGCCGATGACGAAAGCAGAACCCCCTGCAGCTCCGGCAAAACAGAGTGTCGAGCGTGCTCTCGTGGGTAGAGAAAATAACAAATCGATTGGAGCGATTGGGAGAAATCGACGGCAAAGAAGGGGTTGGACAAGTTTATGGAGGTATAAGGAAGGTGGAGGGACGATCAATTCGTCTTGGAGAAGCCGGAATAAAAATGCCCAATTCAACTTTGGGGTCGCCGGATTCTGGAAATTTGAAATTTCCCGAGGCGGGAAATTCGGAAATCAACAATTGAAGCAAATTGAACTAAGTCGAAGGCTGGGAATGGTGGAAATTGAGTCATGGGATCTCGTCGATTCGATTTTGAGTGGAGAATTTGACCCATAAAGCTCCAAGAAGAAATGTCCAATTTTAGAGCCCTCGCCGAAAAACACGAACTCGCTGGAATTTGCACTTTTTGGCCGGAATCTGGATATTTGAACGAGCCTATTTCGGGTCAAATTTCTTTCAATTCTTGCGTGGGAAAGATCCTTTGAAATTCCACGAAGCTGCTGAGACAGATTGAAGAAGGATTTGAAGGTGTCAATTTTCTGCCAGAAAAAATGATCGAGCAGCCCTCTTTCGATCCAATTTGGGATCAATTCTGGGAAGCTTTTGATAAGAAGAAGGATCAAGCTTTGAGGGAAAAGACTTTTGAAGAGGGGGAGCCTGATATGATCCCAATTGGATCAATCTACAAGTCACAATTACTTTCCAAAGAAGCCATCTCACCCCACTTGAAGAATGTTGATTTTTGGTTTGATGAGAATTCGATATTAAGGGCTTGTATTGAAGATGGAGTGTTTATCTATGCATTGGTATGCTTGGGTTCTCAAGGAGAAGTTATGAAGATTATTTTTCAAGCTCACCAAAAGCATATGTCAAAATCCACGGCTCTGGATTGCGACCGTGGATTTCGGCGTCCGGTCTACTAAGCTACAGCTCGTGAAAGTTGGTTTATATTCTGGATTTTTAGTTCAAAACAACTAGAGAGAACCCTAGAGAGAGAAAGTGACAAAGAACAATCCTTGGGCAAGTACTGGAGTGAATTGAAGACATTGGAGCTCGATCTATAACCCTCAGAGTACCAACTTCGAGCATGGAGCAGATTTTCATTATTCCCATGATGATTTCTCTTCCAAGCTTGGTATTTTCCTTTCTCGCAAGGAGTAAACTCTTCTCTACCACTTGGGTATGAAGAACTGTAGTTTTGCATGTTAGGAGCAGTTGTATGAACCCTTTCTCGGTACATTGATGATTATATATCCAATTGAAGTTTTATTCAGAAATCTACGAGTCTTGATCACACTTGTATGTTTCCAGCTTTGACCTAGAACGATAGAATCTGAATAGGTCAATAGAGCATCATGATTTGGAAGTGGTGAATCGATAGTGCCAGAGTCAATCGATTCATTGCTCTATACAGGAATTCATTCCAATAGAAGAGATATATTTTTATTTCCTTAGCACTTTATCTCAATGAAGGTCGGTCGCCTGCCGGGTATCGTGTTTGAGAGGGCTTGGTCATCTTAAGAGATTCCAAGATAGGTTCAGATCTTCCGCAGTATAAATCTGAATTGAATTGGACTGGGTGAATTACAACTCGACTTAACTGCAGACTAGGGAGAATCATTACCTGAGTGGTTCCTTCTCGAACTAGGAAACCATAACATCTATTGCTTTATGTTTATTTTGATTTTGAACACTTCACTCAACCTTTCCGCTTGATGATAGATAATCACGGAGTAGGCAGTACATCTAGGCCTTGGGTTGACATTTATTACATATCCCACTATATTGCATTTCCAGACTAAGTTGCACTTGGTCCTATTTTGGTGTTGTGTTTTAGAGAGTCACTTAGCCCGGCCATCTAGCGGTTCTAGACTAGGATCGTCCCAACGGGCCCATCCCTTTTCCTTGAAGCTGTTGCTTCTCCTTGTTGGGTAGGTCGCCCCTTAGTCCCACCGAGTCTTAGCCCGACATCTTCATTTTGCAGCGAAGCGCTGCGAGCTCTTCGGCTATCGGAGTGGGAAGGATCCTAGGAGCATAATTGGGCCCGCTCGAGCCTAAACTTTGACCCGCCATGGGTCTCTCTCCACCGCCGCCTCCAGCCATCGATCCTTGCTCGCTGCAGCCCTCGAGCGTCGCCGCCATCATTATCGTCGGTGCCGGTGCCTTGTTGATTGATATTGCTGGCACCATCACAGTCGAAGCTGCTTTCTTTTCCAGGGTAGCTTATTTTTCAGCCACCACCCGAGGCAAGATCGTCACTTTCTCCTGGAACACCAACCTACTTTGTTCCTTCTTGTCGTGATTGCCGATTATGAACCGCAGATACTCGTTCACTCCTTCCAGGTCAGTTATATATTCCAAGTCAGGTGCGCCCGAAGAGATACCCTTAGAGTCCGTGGTCTTTTTTCCTTGACCCTGTTGATCCTGTGCCGCCTTCTTTGTTGCAGTCTTCGATTTGGTGGTAACCGCCATTGCTCTGATCCTAGTTGAGAGCTGCGGTGAACTCAAACTCGAACCGGGCTCTGATACCACTGGAAGAAATAAAATTGGATGACCTTGCTCTTAGGATTGATTTAGGATGGAAAGGACTAGAAATGGGGAAGGGAATTGGGAAGTTGAGAAAGAATAGAAGCAAGGGAGGTAGAAAGAAAGAAGGAGTCGAAGCTCTCTAGGGAAGGAGTGGGCGGACGTGTGAGAGGGATAGAAGGAGAGAGGAATTAGTTTTAGGTTTAGGATAAATCTTCTAATAATAATCTGCTTATGGAAAATGGTTCCCGGTTCAGAGAATATAAACCCGATATAATTCTCCTTAACTACCTAAAGAATAATCCTAACCCAAGGTTGCTAACCTAAAGAATAATCTGCTTACCGATATGGGTCTACTTCATGATCATCCAGTGGTTTATTGTAACAGTCTGAGTGCAATATGTGTGACCAAGGATCAAGTCCATCACTAGAGGACTAAACACATCGATGTGAGGTATCATTTATCAAGAATAGAGAAGAGGATTAAGGTGAAGAAAGTGAGAACTCCAGACAATCTTGCTGATATGTTCACGAAACCAGCTCCACATGGCAAGTTCCAATATTACTTGGACTCGCTAAATGTTATGAGTGTTTGAAGCCCTCAAGGGTATTGAGGTAAGAGAGAGAGAGGATCTGAGTACATATGGAATTTGGAGGGAGGATTCAAGCCAAGGTGGAGATTGGTTTATATAACTTGAACTAGATTATCTAGCATGCCTGAATGTCACAGGGTCTCAACATTGATTAGGGTTTCCAGCTATAAGACTAATAATTAATAAGGAACTGGCTTGGAAACTACCTCCAGAGGAATGGATACATGTTGAATCAGATGGATTCCTCCTCTCACCCTCAGAATGAGCAGTTGTAGTAGGCTTTATTAGTAACCACTGACCACCTAGGATGATTTACCGAAGCATTTGTCTCTAATATGGGAAATTGCTCAACCACAACAGCTGAATTGAAAGGAGCAGTTGTCTCTAATCTTGGGAAGAAAATCTTCTCTATGCATATGAGGATAATTAGGTTTAAACCCATGCCTCTAAGTGGTAACAAGTTCATTAATCAATCGATAATCTAATTCAATCCGGGCATCTTCCATTAAACCCATAATCTTTAAAGATCTTTCGCCAAGTCGCTAGTATTGGAATTAGCCATTATCTTAGATGGTTCCATAATGTATGAAACCATTTTTTATTGAAATTTCAAAACAATTTATTTAGAAACTATTTGTTTTAATTTTTTTCTTTCTCTATTGCATCTAGTTGCTGACTTCCAACCCTTTGTCTATAAGACTCAGACAAATTAGAGGAAGCTTAATCAAATCTTTCAATGAAGGTTTGTACCCTAACACAAAGATGAGTGATAACGATGTAATTGCACATATTTGCGCCCCTAGTTCTTATCCGTTTGAGGGGCATAGTCGTGTATTTTTGGCCTATTTTACGCCGGGTTGTGCCATTTTGTCATATTTCAGGTCCCAGGCGTCAAAGGAAAGGCTAAGCACGAGTTTCGGGGCATTCGGAAGTCATTCGGTGAAGCTGGGGCCAAAACACGGGCACACCTAAAGCAGAACACGGCCGTGTTCCTAGGCCGTGCTTTTACTGCCGAGAGCTAATCTGAGTTTAAAAAGCACGAGCTCAAAACACGGGCAGGGTTGAGGAAAAGCACGGCCGTGTCCACCAAAAGCACGCCCGTGTTTTCCCCAACAGTCTGGCCGTGTAATTAAACCTTGCCAAAACACGGCCGGGCTGAGGCAAAACACGGCCGTGCCCTCGACCGTGTTTTGCCCAGTGATGCCCTTTTAAGCATATTTCAGCCAAAACAGAAGGGGATTCGAGTTTTGAGAGAGATAGACCGATTCCTAGATAGAGAAAGCGACGAACAAGAGTCTCCAAGTGCCCTAGCTTGATCTTCATCACCATTGGAGCTTGGCTTGAGCTTGGAGAAGTGCCGATCAACGTCCAGGAGCAGGAATCCATCCTTCACAGTATGAATTCCGCGTCTGATTCTGCTTTTGCTTCTTTCTCCATGGAGTAGTTCTCCCATTCATCTGGGTATGGAGAACCCTAGATTTGTATGTTAGGTTTGATTGTATGAACCCAAGTACTGATTCTATGAGTTGATTATATTCGATTGAGGCTTGAATGATTGAATGACTTGAATCTTGATCAAATTCCTGTTGTTTCTGCTTTAACCTAGAATGAGAATATCTGCCTAGGTTGATAGAGCATCCTTGATTGAAGGTAGGGAGTTGGTGACTTTAGTCGAGGAGCCAACTCACTATTCTGTATCGAATTCACTTTGGTAGTGGAGGTTTTGTTTGTTAAGGCCTCAATCTGTTTACTTCGGTGGAGGTTAGTCGCCCGCTAGAGACTCAGATTGAGAGGGTCTGAAGAGCTTTAGTCGAGACTTCAGGCTGTTTAAGAACCTTCCGCAGTGTAACTATCATAGAAACTGAACTTGGTAATTGCAATCTGGCTTAACTGCAGTCTAGGGGGAACCATATCCGGGTGACCTCTCTTAACCTGAATACAACAGTTTACTTGCTTTGTTTGTTTATTAGTTTAGACTTGCATTAAAGTGTTATTGATAGATAACAAGAATTCACTGAGTAGTCATCAAATCTAGGACCCGGGTTGACATTTAAACCTAAACCCGCTATACTACGCTTTAGGAAGTGGTTTCACTTGGCCAATTCTTGGAGTGACAGTAAAAGTGAGTCATGTTTTTGGCGCCGTTGCCGGGGACGGCTAGGTTGTTGAAGAAAAGTGATTTCTGTTAATTTAGCTTTTCTTTTTGCTTTGTTTGCTTTGTCCCACTTGTGCCTTCACGGGTTTGCTTGCTTGAGTGTGTGCAGGTAGTGCTTGACCCGTAGCCAGTCGGGAGGTTTACTGCCGTTGAATCCAGAGATGGACCGCACCTGTCGCCAACTCAGGTGACAACAGCGAGCTAGACTGGCTACGGAAGAGCGCATAGACGGCCACCTGAGTAGCGATTCTGAGGAAGTGTACGGGATGGACGGAGAATACAATCCACACCAGGGGAATCAGGTCCTGGGGAACAACCCCTTACCCCAGGATCATGGGGTTCATCATCATCCACCGCCGCCGGGTCCCACATTGGAGTACTACTACACTCCACGGATTGCTGACATCCGCCCAGTCATCCTCTACCCGCCTATTTCAGCAAACAACTTCGAGATCAAGCCATGCTGGATTCAGCTCATTACATCTTCTATCCAGTTCCATGACTTGAAGGATGAGGAGGCCAGGGTGCATCTTTCCCGTTTTCTGCAGCTGACGAACGGGTTCAAGCTGAATGGTGTCCCCGATGATGCAATCCGCCTTCACCTTTTCCCCCATTCTCTGGCGGGGAATGCTAAGAGGTGGTTGGAGACCCAGCCCCCATTGTCCATCACCTCTTGGGACGATCTGGCTGACAAATTCGTGCACAGGTACTATCCGACATCGAAGACTACAGAGATCCAGCGGGAGATCACTCACTTCCGCCAAGAGCCAGACGAGTCGCTTCGTGATGCATGGGAGCGGTACATGGGATATTTCTGGCAGTGTCCCCATCATGGCTTTAGTGATACATTCACAGTGGGGAACTTCTACAGTGCCCTCTCTCCAGACAGCCAGAGGGTGATTGAGTCTCTATGTCCACGAGGGGATATTCTTACTAAGACTGCACCCGAGCTGAACCAGATGATTAATACCTTGGCTGCCAGAGATCATTCTTGGGGACAGAGCAGCAGAGGCAGACATTCCCGGGACCGTGGTGTGCACGCCATGGAGACCAGATCCCGGCTCAAGCAGCAGGTAGCTGAGCTAGTGTAGACATTGAAGCAGCCCAACAGTCTTATTTCGGGCAGAGGTTTGGCTACACCTCCAGTATCTCAATGTCAGTGGTGTGAGAGCTCGAATCACTTAGTGGAAGACTACCAGGCTATGAGGGAGTCTACTACCCCCCAAGAGCAGTTGGACTTCATCGCCAATGCTCGGCGCCTCGACCCGTACAGCAATACATATAATGAGGGGTGGCGCCAGCATCCCAACTTCTCTTGGGGCAGCAACACCATTAAGCCACCTGGTTTCCCAGTACCAGCTGGTGGCTTTCAACAGAGGCAGCCCTTCCAGGCTCGACAGGGGCCATCCCCACAGCAGCAGCCCTACCAACCTAGGCAGGGGCAACCATTCCAGCAGCCCCAGCGCCAGTTTGCCGAGCCAGCAGCAGCTCCGGATCCAGATACTCAGATGACGAAGCTGGAAAATATTCTAACTTCATTCATGACTAGCACTCAGGCAACTATCACGAGGTTGGACCAGAGCGTAGCCTCACTGGAGGCAGGTCAGAGGAACCAAGGTGCCATCTTGCAAGATCTGCAGAACCAGGTGGGAATCTTGGCTCGCCAAAACACTACTAGGGCACCGGGGACTCTGCCTGCCACCACTGTTCCGAATCCTCGTGATCCTCACCAACACCAGCAGCTTGATGCCATCACTACCAGGAGTGGCAAGACCACATCAGCCGCTCCTGTCCAGCCCAATCGAGATGAGCCACTACCTTCTTCAACACTTCCAGCTGATACTGCAGAAGTGGGGGAGGACACAGAAACGCCTGCTCCCAAGCCACAGCCAGTGGTTAAGGAGCATGTACTTCAG